AACCTATCATTATTCTGTTTGAATCCTGCAGCACTAGATTTAGTCGAGCCTGCGCGAGAGTATAAGTGGTCAAACAACGTCAAAATAAATGTTTCGTCAGCGTTATAAATTTGCTCCACTGTTGAATTGTGTTCTCCAATATGAGAAGCAAATATCTTGCAATATATTTTAGCAGCCTCATCATGGCCGATTTCTGCTCGTCAGACACGTCAAGTTTTCTAATATCGTGTCGAAGCTTAAAACAAGCCAGTCAGCCATTACAAAAATGGATACTTATCCGTCAAATTCACTTAGTTATAAAAATCTTTACCATTTCAGTCAACATCGGACTGTTAACTTGTGCACTTTCAAATCATTTCAATTTGAACCATTCATACAGTACAGTGTCCAATTGTTAGGCTTTGTTGCCAGGGTTTTCCGTATTTCCACACCTTTCCCGTATTCTGATTCGGCATAAAAAATGTAATAAGTGTTCTTTTTTGAGCCTTAATATCATGGAGAGTTGATAAACCAACATTAAATTCCTTCATCATGGTTCTCATCTTTCTTCGTGGGTTTACAAATCTATATTTTCTGTTGTAATGTTAGTATAACTCGCTTACGTTTCACTCCTTTCCCTGAGGAAGGAGTTACTATTGATTTCTTGTTAGAATTATAAGCCATAACTTCAGGATGTAGAAAATATTTACAGGTAACGTAAGCACAATGTGAATTCCAGTACAGATGGCGAACAACTGAAGCTTGCCGGCGGGAAAAAATGTAAACAAAGCCACATTAGCGCCTCTAATCTACAATGAGCATTTGTATTTGGAGATATTGTAATTTCCGGTTACAAGAGCTTTCCGGATGAGAAGATGCCATATAACAAAGCTTTTACTGTGTGTACTACGTATCTGTTAAATCCTTTAGAACTTTAGCTTTTACACATAGAAGGTAGACATTTAAATTTGAATGGTAATTTTGTTTTTACTTATCAGCCATAAGTATAGACTTGGGAATAAATGAGGCAGAGTGGAATTTAATGAACTTTCATTTGATATAATGCATCATTCATTTTTTTTTCTTCTTCCAGACATATCTATATTACATACAGATAAATTTCGTTGCATTGAAGTATTACCAACGCACCAATGAAAATAGTTATTTTCAAGTTAACTTTTAAGCATTGTTTATAAAAATTATACATTCGTGTTAGAAATACTGTTATTAATTTAAAGTTTGATATAAGAAATCTCGTATTGCAGTAGGCTACTGGATATCGATCGTTGAAATTTTAAGGATACAGAAACTTGTAAAACACCATAAAGTATGATAATAACTTCGGAAATGTTTATTGGAAGTAAGGACGGCAGAATAGTAACATTTAATCGTAAAGTCAAATCATCCATCTCTGCTAATTTATTTAACTATCGATCTATTAACTATAAAATAGTTATATTTCAAAGCCGATTGTACTCGAAAATTAGCCCCCCCCCCCCAGAGACACAGCGGAATGTCTGCGGACTTACAACGCTAGAATCCGGGTTTCGATACCCGTGGTGGGCAGAGCACAGACAGCCCATTGTGTAGCTTTGTGCTTAATTACAAACAAACTCGAAAATTAAACGACCGTGGAATTTTGTAGACTTTTTTTATTTTTATAACATTTCGGTTTTACAGAAAACGAACAACAAAGAACGCCTGCCCGTTCAAACAAACTTGTATAGCATCTGGTATTATGTGCCAAGTCTTGAAGATAGATTGAACTATAAATAGTGTAATGTATGTATGAATTGTCGCATGGTATAGAGAATTATGGAGGCTCGGCATGGCCAGGTGGTTAGGGAGCTCGACTCGCACTCTGCGGGTCGCGGGTTCGAATCCCCGTCACACCAAACATGCTCGACCCTTCAGCCGTGGGGGCGTTATAACGTGACGATCAATCCCACTATTCGTTAGTAAAAGAGTAGCCCAAGAGTTGGCGGTGGGTGGTGATGACTAGCTGCCTTCCCTCTAGTCTTACACTGCTACATTAGGGACGGCTAGCGAAGATAGTCCTCGTGTAGCTTTGCGCGAAATTCAAAAGAAACAAAGAAACAGTTATGGAAGCTGGAGTTTTTCTTTTGATCGAAATATTAGCCTTTGTCACCACTGGACCATTAATTTAGCGTTTTATTTTTTGAACTTGGACGGGAAAGTATTAATTATAGTAAAGTTTTAATTGGTCGAAAAACCACAAACCCGTTGTAATACTGACCGCTTATAAATTTGATAACTCTTATGCCAGTTCATATGTTATTCGTCCATCGTCATATCATTCGCTTCTATTGGTGCCTTTAAAACCTTTTAAGTTGGATAAAATCGTGTTTTCATTATCAGTTCTTGAAAGTCGCGGTTGGGGACAAACAATGAAGAATGAATTTTTGTCCAACATTCACATGCGCCAGTAAGTCCAGACAGACAGACTAGGTTGTGCGGGGAGGTTTTATGAGGAGCTCCACCAATCCTAGAAAGCGTTTTTTTACTCATTTTTCAGAATGGTTCTGACATGAGAGCTTTAGGTTGAATTTTTACACGTATGACAAGGCGAAATTGGTACAGAAAGACGTGCAGCGTCATGTTTCTTAAGGGGCACTTGTTTGAACAAATGTCTAGTCTCATAGTGCTGAATCACGCATAAAAAGTATTTCTTAGAAAACTTTCGAAGGATCTTGTACTCAGATTCAGAATAAAAATTATAATTTATACCCACTGTTGGCAGTGAATTATTAATGTTCGTTAATACGTTGTTTTGTACTCCTAACGAGACGTCGCAGCAAAGCGCTTGAAAATTTTCACATGTTTACAAATTCGAACCATGCTGGGTAAAGCATCGTTATTTTATTTTGAAATATCATAATTGACAGTTTGATGGTTTGAAACCAGACGCCTGGATTCATACACGTCACATACAAGACAGTACTTAATACCTTTTCATCCGGGAGTTTCGTATAATCAACCAGACACCTTTTTATCGTCTGAATATGCAAAGCCTTTTAAAGAATTATACATATTTGAATAAATAATGGTTAATAACGTACAAAAATTACAAAATGTCAGCCAAACAAAAAAAGGCACACATTTTCTGTCATATCAGTGTAACAACAAGTGCAGTTTAAGTGTTAAAATATTTTGATAATATTAGAAGTTAACTTTTAAGAGTTCATGTTTACTTAGTAATTTTGTATCTATATGCCAAATGTTAAAACGAATATTAGCATTTCTTTATGTTTAAGTTCAAAGTGGTTTTGTAATAATCTCACGAATATAAAGAAACTACAGAAATCCATAGAATATTATATACACACACCAAATATGAGTTAGAAGATACATTTAAATGTGTTGGTAATTAAAATTAATTTAAACCATATATGAAAAAGAAGCAAATTTGAAACCCGTGAAAGATAAACTTTGCTAACGAGTTCCTTGAAGCAGTTTTTTAAAGAAATATATTACGTCGTGATGCAAAGTTGGTGGAGAAACTGTGCATGCTTCATTTTATTTAAGTACTAGCTAACGTATCCATTCAACGCACGGGTAAAACGTAGGATCTCTCTAACGGTTGACATTGAAGAGTCATAACTGAGCATCGCCCCCCTCCCCTCCCATGTCACTCCCTGGGGGTTCTAAGGGTACGTGTTAGGATCAGTAAAAATCGGTCTTGCGACTCCCAGAGAAACGTAGACATTTGTTAAATAGTGGTTTAGATATTCTGTAGACACGTTAATACCGTTAAGTTGGTTAGGGTAAAGTTATGACACTGGTGAGTAGCCCATACAATCACCAAAGTGTAATTATTAATTGCTAGGTAGTTTTATCGGCTGTTAATGTGCTGTCGTTTTCATTGAAGTTCTTAGAACGATAGAAATATCTTAGAGTTAAGCAAATAAACAGAGAAAAAAATACCTAAAGGTGGTGGTTGCATTGGGGAAAGTCGGAGGAGTGTTCAGGTCTTGAAAATAAGCATAGATCAAATAAAAGGACTTGAAATGTATTCATGGTAGTGGAATAAAGCTATAACTATTAAAGATAACCGTTTTTCGGCAGGAGTATGAAAATACTAATATATTTTGTATTATCAAGTTTAATGCCCTAATATTTCTTACATGAAACTTCAATTGTTTAATTTTACATTATATCTTTGAATAGGACGATTTATTTTTTCTACTTGAAAAATCCCCTCTCCCCTTTTTATATATATACATAAGGGTATGTATTGCAAATGAAGCGTATGACTAATGTTGCCACACACCAGTGGGGAAGATAACTTCTAGGTACTCTACAGTGTGTGTGTGTCCTCCATTATGTATGCGTCACTGCTTGCTCACCCCTCCATTCTATACCTTTTTTATATCCCGTCTACTTTGGAGAGTCCAGCTAATGCAGCGGAGTGGGTATCGAAGTCACATTATGGAATATGTATAATTTAAGGTTTCCTGCAGCGTACATTCCTGGGCCTAAAACTCCAGTGTTGGTGTGTTAAACTAGTTGACCTTGAAGTTTGCCCATTTTTGTCGATACTGTTTATGTGTGTGTGTGTGTGTTAGAACAAGTTGTTTATTTAGTTACTAGTTTTATTAAACGTCCAGATTTCAGAACTTCACAACTGTATTTATGAACACGCTTTTATATTCTCATATAAAAGTTATCAAATTATCACGACTTGTTTATGGTACCAGGCTGAAAGTTCTATTTTCATCATGCTAATTATTTCAACAGTATTATTAATAAGGCTTCTCTGTGGGTACATCTGTTATGAGTGATGGTCAGCTTAGACTTGAGCTATGTTTTGTGGAAACAGTAGCACATTTAATAAGGGGGTAGTAATTCTTTTGTTCTATATGTGTGTGGTTTTGGTAAATGATGTTCCAAGAGAAAAATCCTAAATGCTGTTTACCTGTTGTTGAATGCATGTTAAAGAATACAGTAATTATCAATGCATCTAGCATAAAACGGTTTTGATCTCTTTTTTTTTATTGTAGGATTTTCAGGGACCAATTGTGATTACAATATTGACGACTGTGCTGGTAATCTGTGCCAAAACGGAGCTACTTGCATCGACGGAGTGAATAGATACACTTGTCAGTGTCCTTCCACGTATACTGGTAAGATTTTACGTGGCTAATAATTATTCCCACTTGTACAGTGAGCGTCATAAACAAATGGTGGCCGTGCATCTGACATGTGTGATCCAGTAAAATAATCATTACCGTGTTGAGTTGCAGCAGTAAAGCTGTGAATAAATGATGAATGAGAACTGGTAGAATAAAGCAGTAACAGGCATACTTTAGTCTTAAAGTATACAATTTCTAACCATTAATTCTTACTATCGTATGTTTTGTAGACGTTTTTCAAGTGATGGTCCAGTAAATGTGAGGTTGTCGCCTGAAATCATTGCAACATGGTTGTGATATATGGTCACGTCTGTTGATTTATTTAAAAAAATAATAACTAGAGGATTCACGTGTTCATTATGTATTTTGCGTAAACAGTTATTCAGATTTTTTATCTGTAAACAAGAGTTATTTAAAGTTCGGAAACATACAATTCGAAAGTTCGAAATTAATTATACTTTACAATCTTCTATAATGGTATTTTGAGATACAAATTCTACCTGGAAATACCATTATAGTCTTATTAGTGACATTCTTGAATCGTTGTTTTTGAGGTGTGAACTTGCTATTTTGGGTTGTTTATGACTGATTTGTATGGTTTTTGGTTTTTCAGGTCCTTACTGCAGTCAAGATGTAGATGAGTGTGCTTTAAGGCCTAGCGTTTGTAGAAATGGAGCAACATGCACCAATACCATTGGAGGTTATTCCTGCATTTGTGTAAACGGTTGGACAGGTCCAGATTGCAGTGAAAACATAGATGACTGCGCAGGCGCAGCATGTTTCAATGGTGCCACCTGTCACGATAGAGTTGGATCATTTTATTGCCAATGTGCACCCGGAAAAACAGGTGCAGATGTCATTCGTAATAAAATACTTGTAACAAATGTTAGATGTAACGTTGCTTAATCCACCATCTATTTGGAACATCTGTTTCAATGTATTGCCTTTCACTATATATCGTAAACCAAAAAAAAAACACAAATGGAACTGATAATTATAAGAATATAAACGGTCTTGCATTTTCCTTTGATTAGTTTTATCTACTTCTCAGGTTTAAAGTACCTGGAATACAAAATGAATTTAGCATATTTTTTAGTTGTTAAAATATTAAATTCTGAGATTTTATAATTGTAATGTTTATGTAAATTTGTATTAAAGTGTGTTGTTTATTGATATGTTTTAGTAATCGATTCCGTGAATAAAAGATAAAAAACATCTCGATTCTTTGCCATTATAATTTGACACACTTAATGATATGACCAAATTTCGACAGTTTTTAGGCTTAAATTTATTATGAAATCAAATAAACAATACTACATAACGAAACTGAAATGATTTTAACAATCCGTGAGATATGGTACACGGTTTAATTGTTTTCATCTGTTGATGTGTGCATATCTATATTGTGTGATGTTTTGAAGAAGACTTCGTGTTTTAACGTACCAACCATACCTCTCTTCTTTTCTTTTTGTTACTAATTAGTACACCACATTTCAAACTTTGCTTTGCTTATTTAGGTCTGTTGTGTCATTTGGATGACGCATGTGCCAGCAATCCTTGTCATGCTGGAGCTGAGTGCAACACCAACCCAACAGATGGTACTTACCTTTGTACGTGTCCCAATGGGTTTAAGGGCACTGACTGCACGGTAGATGTGAACGAGTGCCAAGAAGGCATGTATATATATATATATATATATGTTACACAGTTATTTTTTTTTTTTAAGTATTGACTTGTTTAGACAATTAAACCATGTATCGATATGATGATTCTATTGTGTTTAAAATTGTTTTTTGTATGTTAATAAAGGATTCCTAGGAAATTAATTTTTCATTCACATGAGGATTCTAGAATGTTTGATTTTACTGAAACCCCTTTTACAACGTTGGATGGTTTGATGTTTTTTGGCATTTTTATCCATTCTTTTTGTTTAACATATTTTCAAAAATGATTTAACTTGGGTGTAAAATAATCCCAGATTGTACAGAAGAAACATCTTACCATGATTTTACTTAATACTGGGGTTTTTAAAAAAGTTCATTTGAATTGTTTAATCTCTATTTGATATTAATTCCACATTATCACCGTTTTATTGAAATATTTACTTATATTTGGCTTAACTCCATTTTTGACCTCTCTTTAACCTCTAATAATTTCATAATTGCATGCTGTGGACTTCGTAGTATCAAATAATTGAAAGCAAATGTTTTAGTCAAAACTCATTTCTTAAGGTTTAAACTTGAGATATTTGATCATTGGGTCTTTCTTAATATGCCGGACTTAGAGGTTGAAAGTTTCTAGCCTCTAAACTGAAGTTTGGTCATACCCTTCCTCAGTTATTTTATATTGATTTGAGGAGACAGTACACAGTCATGGTCATCGTATGAGTTGCTTGTGATTTACTCATCAGCAATATGAATTTCTTTACGCTTTGTTGGTGAACCATGCAGAGTTATGGTATCTGTAATCTTGTTTCACTGAATTTAAGCATAAGTATATTTACACACGCTAATCTGATTTTCTTTGTGAAAGCTGCTGGAACAGCTCGTGTGTCAACCAACGCTTTGTATGGTTTTTCATGTTGGATTTAGGAACAGGGTCAGGACTAAAACTCCGATAAGTTGTTGTTAATCTGTTTTGGTTCATTTCTTTATTTTCTATTTAGATTGAGAAAAACGTACGCCATTAATATAGACTTTGTGAAGACTTCTTTTTTCCCCTTTGAGTACAAATTTAAAATTTCTTATGGATGTTTCCATTTGGATATCACTGGCTGTGGCTTATGAGTGAATGCCATTCTAAGAATTATCTTTTGTTAAGAGGTGTTTTGATTTTATTGGTTAAGTTTCCACCACGTTATTTGTTTCATAGATTTTTTTATCTTAGAGCTGCAAATATTGACTTGAAAAAATGTCCAACAGTTGGAGAAGGGGTTTACTGAAATATCGTAATCTGTTATAAGGTGTCACTATTCTAAATCATCAAGGAAATCCCTTTACAGAAATTTTCCTTTAATATAAAATAGATTGTTACTATTCCTAGTATGGTTTCTTGTATATTCTTGTTTCATTAATAATATGCCCAGTATAAGGAGTTATGTGCGTTTTTCTTACTAAAACGTTTACTGCAAATAAGGCTGTCGTAGAGTGAAAGCACAAGCAGAATTATAAAATAATGATGAACAAGTTAATTAAATGAACTACACACACCTATCCAACTTGTTACTCCACATTTTCAATTAATTATGGTTAACTCTTTTAGGATCGCCTTGCGAGCATGGAGGAATGTGTGTCAACACGCCAGGTTCTTTCAGCTGCAACTGCAGTAAGGGTTTTACAGGGCCCAGATGTGAGATTAACATCAATGAATGTGATTCTAATCCCTGTCAAAACGATGGCACCTGTTTGGACGAAAGAGGAGGTTTCCGTTGTGTGTGTATGCCAGGTTAGTGTTCTTTTTGTGAGAGCTGTTGTTTCAATTTTACAAGGGATAAATTAACTTTGGAGTTTTATTTTAACTTTTAAGTCGACGTATCTGTGTAATTATAAGTTAGTTTTAATGGGAGCCAGATGTGGTCTAGTGCCGGGTAGAGGACTGATAGTGTATAATTATAAGTTAGTTTTAATAGGAGCCAGATATGGTCTAGTGCCGGCTAGAGGACTGATAGTGTGTAATTATAAGTTAGTTTTAATAGGAGCCAGATATGGTTTAGTGCCGGGTAGAGGACTGATAGTGTGTAATTATAAGTTAGTTTTAATGGGAGCCAGATATGGTCTAGTGCCGGGTAGAGGACTGATAGTGTGTAATTATAAGTTAGTTTTAATGGGAGCCACATATGGTCTAGTGCCAGGTAGAAGACTGATAGGTCTAAAGTTCGTGTCGTGATGCCGCTAAATACCCCCTCGGACTTTCAGCTGTGGCTACAATACAAGTGTGACAGTATGTCCTACTCTCTATTTAAAAGCCGGACAAAGATATTAGCGGCATGTTATGCTGACTGGCTGTCTTCGATAGTTTAAAATTAGGGCAGCCATACATGAACCGTAGAGGTATTTGACTTAGCCGTTTTGTTCATGTGATTAAAAGCTGGCATTTAAGTTGAAAATACCAGTACTGTTTAATTTTTATTGATAATCTGATATTTGAATCTATGATTGAAGAAAAGTGATTAGTTCCACAAAACTGTATCCGGTTGAGTATCTTAATTTCTCGATAAAATACGTGCTGAATCTCATTATACGTAACAATTCTCAAAAGCTAACTTTTGTATTTCCTACATAGGTTTGAATATTTTAAGTTATACGTTTACAGATTTCAAGTACGATTAGTCAATGAAGTGTGTAAGAATAAACTAAATTTTGTGTGCTTTTATATGAATAGTACTTTCTCTTTAAGGTTGGAAGACTGCGTGCCCTAGCGGCTAGTGTGCCGGACTGTAAATCCAAAAATCCAAAAGTTAACTTGATGTTGACTGAAAAACGCGATCTGTGCTTTGGGGCAGTAGAGATATTACAAGAGTGATGGTCAAATCCAACTAATTTTTTATTATAGCCCAAAAGTTGGCGGTTGTTGATGTTAACTGTCTTCCCTCTAGCCTATCAGTTCAGAATTAAGGACGACTAGCGAAAATATGACTTTTGTAACTTTGGTCGAAATATCTGAAACCAAATTTCAAGGATAGGAGCGAAAATAGACCATTTGTAGGTTTGGTCGAAATATCCGAAACCATATTTCAAGGATAGGAGCGAAAATAGACCATTTGTAGGTTTGGTCGAAATATCTGAAACCAAATTTCAAGGATAGGAGCGAATATAGACCTTTGTTAGCTTTGGTCGAAATATCTGAAACTAATTTTCAAGGATAGGAGCGAAAATAGACCATTTGTAGGTTTGGTCGAAATATCTGAAACCAATTTTCAAGGATAGGAGCGAATGTAGACCTTTGTTAGCTTTGGTCGAAATATCTGAAACCAATTTTCAAGGATAGGAGCGAAAATAGACCTTTGTTAGCTTTGGTCGAAATATCTGAAACCAATTTTCAAAGATAGGAGCATGTAATCCTAGTAAAAATTATTAACCGTTAGTAAACCACATCACAACTAACAACTTAGCTAATTTTTTGTTTCAAAAAAATATCTTGACTTTCGAAATGCTAAAATTGTAGCGTAAAATATCAACGACGAAAACAAAATAAATCCTTTGTAACTCATTTGTTCCCCTTCAGAAGACATAGGACTAATTTAATTACCGTGACATGGATTTAATCACTAGCTTTCTGGCCCGCTGGTGAACTAGTAGGGTGTATAGTTTGGTAGAATGATGGTACTTGGGGTCGGTTTTGGAACATCCTGTTGCATGGTGTATTATATTGAAAGAAAATAAGTGAGTAGTAAAAAGAGGCAAACACGGCAGCACATAAACATTAAAAGTAATTGGTTTGAAAAACGGGTAACACAAGAACGATTGTCGTGATAGCTGTAACTTGAAACTGTAATCTGAGCTTATAATGGTGGAGTGATTTTTTTTTTTTTTTGAGAATTCAATCATGTAAAAATGTAGGATGTAATTGCAAGGTTATGTACTGATTTATATATACCACTTATAGCGGTTTGCAGTGTTAACTTGAACCACATATCTAAAATTAGTTTTCCCTAAAGACCACGTGGGTCGTCGCCAGTTTATATAATTATTCGAATGACATTATATTGACAATATATTATAACTATTTTTAGCACTCGTAGACATTATATCTAAAATAATTGCTGTTATTAAGATGTGTAATGTGCAGTTCTTTCCTGTTGGACAGGTTGGTATGTCCTATAAGTTAGCGTGCTCGGACTGTAAATCCAAGGGTTTGGACGTGGTTTGTGATCCATTGCCGTTAAAAACGCACTCTGTACTATTGGGTTGTAAGTGTGTTATAAGAGTGACTGTCAAATCCTACTATTAGATCAGGCTCTGTTTGTTTGTAGTTAAGTGCAAAGCTACACAATGGGCTATCTGTATTCTGCCCACCATGGGCATCGAAACCCGGTTTTTAGCGTTGTTAGTCCGCAGACATGCCGCTGTGCCACTGGGGGGTTAGGCAATGATAGTCTACGAGTTGGCGGTGGGTGTTGTTGACAAGTAACCCTCTCTAGACTATTAGTGCACAATTAGGGACAGCAATGCGAAAATAGTCCGTTGTATAGCTTTACTTGGAACTTCAGAAACTAATTTTCTTCTTAAGTTTGATCGGACGTGGTATGAAAAATTTGGTGGGCTGTAGATTCCAGAGGCTATGGAACGTACATTTCCTCACCTGTATATATATATATACACCTAAGTTACAGGTTGTTCATTGTTCATGAAAACCTAACACGTTGTGCGTCTATTTGTTTACTGGACACATCATCATAAACATGGAGGGAAAATTATTTGATGAATATAAATCTGTAATAAACATTAAAACAAAATTTAAAAAGTTTATTCGAATTATCGACCTTTTATTCAAATATTTGTGCTTCTGAATCTATATACACGTGATGTTGACTCACAAACGCGCTTTGGGGCGGTAGAGGCGCTACATATACACACATCTACCAACCCCCAAACACTGAATTAAAAACAAAAAGTGGCGGAGAAGTAGAGATTTTCTTTGGAAGCTGTAAACGTCGAAGCTTTTGTCAGTCTCTTTGTATAAAAGATTTTTCGTTTATTGTTCTTTCCACGCATCCACCATGTGTTACGTGTACACTTTGCTTGGCAGGTTGCGCAAGTGTTTTGTGTTTACCAAGTGTTTGTTGTACTTGGAACAGAGTACGCTTTCAATGTGTTACACGTTGGTGATTGAGAAAAAAAAAAAAGATCTAACATCTTTCAGCCTGTCTTTACAGTCGTTTATTAGTGTGCTTATCTGTAATTCAGTCTAAGCCTATTCAGTCGTTTTATCAACTTATTCCGTATATTAATCTGTAAATTTAAGTTATACTTTACGTAGCTAAACTTTTATTATTTTATTGTGTATCAATTTAGTCTGTAAACAGTAATAAAAGTTAAGATTCTGTAGGTCGAAAGTTATAAGTTTGAGAAAACCAGACAAAGTGCATAGGAAACGTCTATAAGGTTGAGCAATACGCTGTTATCTTTCGTCTGTTCATTAATATAGCATGTTCTAACACGTTTACTAACTAGATGATCGGTTTTTATAGGAAAAAATGTAATAATAACAAACAGCGTTTGGTGGCTTTACCCCTTTGATTTTTGTCGTCATATATATTGGTTAGTCATGCGAAACTCGGTACCAGGACAAGCAGGCTGTTTTTTTCTTTCGGTTTTAATGTGAGGAAGTTGTTTATTGAATATCTGAAATTAGGGTCTTGAAAAGCTCGAAGATTTATTTTATTTAGTTTTGTGTTCGGGCGAAGTAAGACTAGTTCGTTATCTTTAAGCGACAGTTCAATGACTTGTTGAATGTCATTGCCCAGAAATGTAAAAAAGTCAAAATAAATAATAAAAATAAAAAACTTATAGAACGTTGTTACATAAAGGTAAATTTGTGATAGACTAAGAAATTATTTCTGTTAGCTTTGAAAAGCTAATGATCGTTTTTTAATACATCTGCTGCATTGCTCACCATGGCATTGTGTAAATATGTTGGTTGAAATGTGACTTGTTACACCTGCTAGGTGTGATCAGAATGTTTGTACGTATGTTTTGTTGACTATTTTGTTGTAGGTCCTTCTGATGAAGTTAATTGTTTATTTGTTTTGAATTTCGCGCAAAGCTACACGAGGGCTATCTGCGCTAGCCGTTCCTAATTTAGTAGTGTAAGACTAGAGGAAGGCAGCTAGTCATTACCACCCACCGCCAACTCTTGGGCTACTCTTTTACCAACGAATAGTGGGATTGACCGTCACATTATAACACCCCCACGGCTGAAAGGGCGAGCATGTTTGGTGTGACGGGGATTCGGACCCGTAGACTGCGAGTCGAGCGCCCTAACCACCTGGCCATGCCGGGCCAATTGATGAAGTTAATAGAGCTTGTTCATTTTTGGTTAAACTCAAAAATATTAAGTATTAGGTAGTTTTGTTGACTAACGAAATGTTTGTGTTTAGGATAAGCGCAATAATAATAAGAATTTGGCTGTTAAATGTTCGTAGTCCAGAAAATTTCGTTCATCACCCCAGTAGAATAAGGCTGATATGTTTATTAATTTTTTTTTCAGACATTGAAGAACAATTTGTATAAAGCGAATATAATTTCACATAGTACTTTCAGTTCTCTTCAATCAAACAGTGAGGCTATTTTCGAGGTTTACCTTTAAAGAAAAGAAGGTTCGATAACTTAACGGCGAGGAGGCTCACTTAACATGATAAGGGGGGGGGGATAATTTGACAGTACTTTAAGGCGGATGGGAGCGAGGGTTAACTTAAAGAGTCACCGAGAAATGAAGGCACTGTGGGAGAGAGGTTGAATTAACGGAAGTTAAGGAAGAAAGTGTAACTTCACAATTGAAATAAGTAATAGTGTATATAATACCACTTGGTTTACATCCCGGTTAAGTGTGCTTATATCAACCTCTAGAAGGTTTCACTTTACTGTAGCAACGTATAGAGCTGAAGTAGCCTAAAACTAAGATACGGAGTAATTTTTCACGCAGTGTAAGCCATTTTTTATTTCGCCTTGTATCTTAATTAATAACACGGATAAATAAATGTCCCAAGCGATACACAAATGACTATAGGACGTCATTTACATATCACTGTTTCTTGTTAGTACAGCTTTAGTAGACTTAGGATACTTCAGAGCTACACATACAAAAGAAAGTCGTGATTAATGAGGCTTGCATCTTACTCTAGGAGTGGTTGAAGGCATAAAATATGTGTATACATGCGGTGTTCGATGCGTTTGTTCCTTTTTTTGACATGTCATTGCCTTAGTACAAGCTTTTTTATGACTGATCACCAAGTTTGACGGAAGTTGGATTATCACCACTATCTGATAAAAACACATTAATGTGTATGCACATGTTGGCTTAGAGTAAAGGAATGGTTTTGGTTGAAAGGGCAGGCATGAGAAGAGGGTGGTAACAGGAGGGGGAGGCGGGAGCTGTAACCTGCTCTGCAGGATGCCTGCATGCTTTGTGTGAGAACCGCGGACCTCCACCTTAACTCGCGGTCTCAACTTTATTGCTTGAGCCTGCAGGAATGTTAGCTTTCTCAAAGGAACGTACTGGTGCAGTTCACGGAGGGTCACGACTGGAAGTTCTAGGTGGCGTTGTCTTGTTCACTACAAAACAACTTAAAGGCCGACGGCAGCACGATTACATTTCGAAGTTGTTTTCTAATGGCATTGTCATGCCTATATTTAGTAGCTTAAGCTGATTAAAATATTATTTTCAGACGTTAATTAGCGCAGAAAAGTAACACTATGGATGAAAATACCTTGAAAATTATGTACTTGAAAAGCCTCATGTTTGTAGTGGCATGGGACAGATCTAAATTCAGACGTTTACTAACCTAGGCCTAATTCAGTGTAACGTTAGCTTGACGAAGCCAAGCAACATAATTGAATTTAATCATAAAAAAACGTGACAGACAGACAGACACACAAAACCTTTGCATATCTTTAAATATTTAAGAAACGTGTTAATGGCCGATATGCTTATGTAATGGCTGTTACTATAATCTGTGGTATTTTTATTGTAATAAACTAGATGCGAAACATTTCGATTGATAAATTTCTACGACAAAAGTATGATCCAGTATCATTTTATTACTTTAGCCTTAGAATTACTTCCCTATCGTTAATTAAACACATTTCTAAGCTGTTGTATGCTTCAATTTGCATGTGGGTCCTTGTCTCTGTTTTTTACAGGGCCACTTGTATTAAACACACGCGAAATATAAACAAGAATATCACCAGTGCAAACACGTCTTTGATCTCCCATGTATGTAATATTGAGGATAAATGATTCCACTTGGTTGTTACATTGATTGATGTAACAGGCAAAGAATATAATTACTCCTCATTATGCAATATGTGGACCCAATCGATAGCAAACGTTATAAAAACAAGTCGGTAATTGAAGGTAATTTTCACGTAGCCCAGCTTAATCAGGGAAGAGCTTTCAGCTGATTTTTGGACTTAGTTTTCTCTATGAGGGGAAAATTTGTGTGTTAAAAAAATAATTAATGTAGTATTGAGCTACTTGAATTTACAATGATTGACACCACACATTATATGTTTTTTTGTCAAATGCTAGTAAGCATTCACTTTATCTACTGATCGCTACCTTCGAATAAAGTTGTACTTACTGGTAAAAGTTTAATAATGCAATTTATTGATCATTATAAAGCTGGAAATTGTGAATTTACTATTTTACAGGCTACAGTGGAATACACTGTGAAATTGATATAGATGAATGCTTGCCAAATCCATGCTTGAATGGAGCAATCTGCAATGACCTCATCAACAGGTTCAAATGTCTTTGTCAAGTGGGTTTTATTGGAACAAAATGCGAAATAAACGTTGATGATTGTGTGAGCCAACCTTGTCATCATGGTGGAACTTGTCATGATGGAGTAGCGGGATATACCTGTGATTGTCCACCTGGTAAGTTATTATGCGTACACATAACAGAGGAACTAGAAATCCCAACTGAATTATGCTCATACGTTTTTGTTGAATGAAATTTTTTTTCATGTAAAGCAATTTAATATATATATTTTTTCACCTACTACCGGCAGTTTCTCTTTATCTTAAATACAGTTATAACTGGATAAATTTGTTGGTAAATAACTTGTAACCACCATACTTGGGGATGTTATGTCTCATTACTGGAACAGATGTATTTCTTTCAAGTTAAGATACTTGTTTAAAGTGATGACTGAAAATATATATTTTTTTTTAATCTAAAGGAAACACTTTATTTTTCCTTTCAGTAGCATGATGTATTAGTGGTTTCATCTGTTGGACATTTCATGCTATTTTAATTGGATGTAACTCAAATTGAAAGACATACTCCTTCCAGTTTTGTGTTTGAGTACTAACATATTTGTCTCTTGACAATATTATTATATAGGATTATAGGTTTGAAGAAATTTCATTTGCATTTTAGCTATGATATTCTGAAGCTTGCGCTTTTCTTTTGGTAGGTTTTACAGGATTTGCTTGTGAAACAAACATCAACGACTGTCAGTCTTCCCCTTGTCATTATGGAGAGTGTATTGATGGTATTGGAAGGTTCACATGTAACTGTCATAGAGGTTATACAGGCATACTGTGTCAGACCCAGATTAATGAGTGCAGTAGTAATCCCTGCCAACATGGTGGTCACTGTGAGGATTTTATTGATGGATACCAGTGTCGCTGTCGACCAGGCACAACAGGACCCAATTGTGAGCACAACTTGAATGAATGCTTTAGCAATCCCTGTCGTAATGGTGCCTCGTGTGAAGATGGAATCAATTCCTACAGATGTAGATGTCTTCCAGGATTTACAGGTGTGCTTACATATTACTCTTAAAAAAATTTCTAAATCATTAATAAATATTTTATGGCAAGATATATTTTGTTTTATTTTATTAATATAATAATAAGTTTATCATTGGTTTGATCAACCCTATAATCATGTTCTTCTCCCATTTTTCAATAAAATCTGATTTTAGTAACTGTTTATATGATATAAAGAATGCTGTAGTCAAATTTATGTTTTATACCTGCTGTTTATCTATTATTTTGGTATTTGTTCACCTAAAAATAACAGAAAACATGAAATCTTCAAGTTAAGTTGATGTGATTTAGTATTCTCTGGATTTGTATGTAGAACATGTGTTAAATTTCTGTTGATTTTCTTTACAAAGCTTCATTGGTTATATTAGAACAAATGTGTTTAATTTAAATTCGATGATGAGGAACCCACTTTGAGACTAATAATGGCTGGAGACGGCTTGAATGGGTAAATTCCCACCAGCTATAGTTGAAAAGCTCTCCAACATTCCCCACAATAAAACTCAACTCACGAACAAAATGGACACTTAACAAATCCAACAACA